CCCTCCCAACTTTTTATATTAAGAGAAAGGAATCAAACAACTTTTATATGTATAAAAATATTGACTATAATTTAACTGTTCTGACACCAGTCATTATTTGCACACCACTCTCCTTGTACTCTGGGTTTGGTAGTTTATGATAGTGGTCACACAGAACTGAAGGGGAACACGCACAATGAAAGAGGTCTTATTAGGACAATTAATAGGTTACCTCAAGTCAACATTATCAAACATTAAGGACATAGTCGTTGATCCACAGCAACACCTCAGTTCAGCCACTTGGTGCTTTGGCTTCTGTCTCTTGATGGTCAGGAAGCCAGCCCTCTGGTTTCAGCCAGAGAGTTATGCTTCCAATGGCCCTCGATTTCTCTTTCTTCCTCCCAATGTGGCTCATCCTTATAGCACAGGGTGGTAACCGAAACTGACCAGTCCCTCTGTTACTGTGACACATGGCCTGTCTGCACAGTCACCCAATCATTCAGTGGGAGGCACAGAGTCATGAATGGCAGAACCATATTAAGGAACTTCATGAAGATTGTTACGTGTCAGGAAGTGTAAGGCCAGTGCAGTCGGACACAGTGTACAAAGGGGATTGAAGTGAGAGAAAATGGACTGTAAGGATGGTCTGTGGGGTCATTGAAAGGACTCATCACCTCTAGAAGAGAAACAGTGCTCAGTGGAGGGGATAGTTGGGGGGAGGAAGTGTGTCTCACTGTCCTGTCATGTTAATCAACATTGGGCCAATCCAGCTCATATCCGCTAGTAGCTGGACATCTTCAGGGGCTACTTAGCTACCTTTTTTTTTTTTTTTTTGACATGTCATAAGACGGGCTTTAATGTCTCCCTCTCACATGATAGTGTGCCTGCTTACACTGGGACTGGCACCTGAAGCTGGCATGCCCCGCGGCTGCTGTGCAGCTGGACCAGCCACAGGCACTCAGCTCAGTACAAACCCTGGAGTCCAAATACTCACATCTGCTGCACTTCACCAGTTTTTGAGTTCTGGAGCTGCCCCACGCATGCCAAGTACATGCGCTGCTGTTCTGCCCTATGTGCTATTTTGCCTTCCTCAACATGACTCCTCTCAGCTTTGTGAGGGTCCAAGGAAAGCCTGACTTTGTAGGCTTAGCTACCATTTTTACAGATTGTCTCGACCTTTGAAGCCCATCTACACTTAGAACGTAATGTCCATCAGTGCCTCTTTATGGCTTAGAATTATCAGTTGGTTTCATCTACCAATTTTTGTATTACAACCAAGTGCTTATCCTGAATCTTTCTGGGTGGTATTAAAAAGTGTAATTTGTCAAAATGGAACATAAATGGTCTGTTAGAGTGGAAGATTGTGTTGCATATATTCACAGTTTCCAATGTGCTAATAAGATTCATAGTTGCTTTCAAATGGATTCTGACTCATAGTGAACGTGTGTGAAGAGCAGCTTAGAGCCATTCCATGGCGTTTTCCAACCTATACCCATCTCAGATTGCCCGCAAATCACCCTTCTGTCTTGAGTCATCACCTTTTCAACTGGTTGTCCAGCCAGTAACTAGGTGCGTCTCCCACTACTCCACCAGTGTCATAAGAGAAGAACACTCCCAGGCCGCTCCATTCCTAGCTGCTCTCATGGGAAATTCTCTCTCTCTCTCTCTCTCCTGTAGAGCCAAAGTCAGAAATCTACCCCTGTTTCTCCTGCCTCCTGGTTTTCTTCTGTCAGCAGTTCCTCAGCCAGCATGTGCTTCAGGTCTTCCCTGGCCTGTGTGCAGGTGATCACTTCCATCCAGGAGAGTCCAGCCCAGGGCACCAGAAGCAGCCAGGGCAGCAGGATTCTGATGAGAGCTGCAGGAGTGAAAACACTCAAGATTGGGACAGAGAAGAAGCCTCCAACTCCTTGTGTGGGAGCACAGTGGGGAGAGAGGGCTCAAAGGCATTCTCCAGTCCAGCCCAGAGACGGTTATCAAGCCCCAGAGACAGCAACCTCAGGGTAGGAATGGAGTCCGACTCAGTCCAAAGGGCGAACAGCTCCGTGGAGACAGACAAAGGGTTGAAGGAATTAGAAACCTCAAGCTTTGGAATAGTTAGCTCTAGGGAGGGTAAGCCTAACTGTGACCTGAAATTACAGTCAGATGAGAAACTTTACACATCTAATGAGCGTGAGGGGGGTTTGGGTGGTAAATCAGCTCTCATCAGACATCAGAGGATACACTCAGGAGAGAAGCCTCCTGTTTGTGAGGCCTGTGGCCAGGACTTTAGCATTAAGTCCCGTCACATGAACCACCAGATGACGCATTCAGGTGAGAAATCAAATGTTTGTAAGGAATGTGGGCAAGGTTTTAGTGAAAATTCACATCTCATCAGACACCAAACAACACACCCAAGTGAGATACCTTACATGTGTAACTTATGTGGGCGAGGCTTTACCTGCAAGGCATATCTTCTTATGCACCAGAGCACACACTCAGGGGACATGAAATTTGTGTGTAAGGAGTGTGGCCGAGCCTTTAGCCAAGAGTCATCTTTCCTCAAACACCAATGGACACACTCAGGTGAGAAGCCTTACTTGTGTAAGGAATGTGGGCGAGGCTTTTCCTTCAAGTCAACTCTCATAGGACATCAGGGGATACACTCAGGTGAGAAGCCGTTTGTGTGTAAGGAATGTGGACAAGGCTTTAGCCAAATGACAACTCTCATCAAACATCAGAAGGCTCACTC